TATATATATATATATGTGTGTGTGTGTGTGTGTGAAATAAGAATATATAATAGAAAGATAAACCAAGAAAAGAATAGTTTTTAATTTTATACTCAATCGATTGTATAAAAGATAAAAATTATTATGTAAATTAATGAAAATGTTAATTTATAAATTTGATTTAGATTCTGGGAAATCACAGTGTACAACGAGATACATTGGAAGTATAATATCACAGTGTACTGCATCTTCCCGACCGAACTGAGAAGCAATGAGTATTATGTTACCTTGTACATCCATTGGATGTACTTCTTCGTGTACTACATGCTCCCGTTTATCGCGCTAGTGATTTTTAACATGGCCATTTATCAACGGGTGAGTAACGTGAGTGAAATCTAACATCGCCATAATTTCGAAATCGCGGATTATCTTGCTAAAATAAATATTGTATTGTCCAATAATATTTTACACAAAATAATATATCTCGTAAAAATAATATTTTATTGGGTTGAACGGAAAGTTCGTGCCGTTTTTTTCGGTCTTCATCTCTTAGTAAAAAACGGAACGAACTTTGCGTTCAACCCAATAGTTTGTTCCATAGGTTTTCGAATAACCGTCAATAGCCGAAAAAACACTTTTCGGTACATTTGAAATTGGTTATAAACTGGTTTATTTCAAAACCTATGGAGTGCCGTTTTTTCGGTCTTCACCTCTTAGTAAAAGACGGAACGAACTTTCCGTTCAACCCAATATTTTAAACGTGCACAAACTTTATTCTTAATATAATTTATTACGAATATAAATTACATGATAATAAACTTCTTACGCGAAACAATATATAACGCGGCAAGAAAAGATCAAAGAGATAGTTACCATTATTGCAAAAACGTCATTATATCTATAATCGTCAAATTCTGAATCAGAGACAATAAAAAACATTGACAAAATTCAAAATACGTGGCAGAGCCAGGGATTAAAGGCGAAATATCGAACAGTGTATCAGCGACAGCGAGCTTTTCCCAATGGAACTAATATTTTCCAGCTACCGTTCCGTTTTATTAAAACTTCTTTTTAAAATTTGTACCGATGGAGAAGGGAGAAAAAGAGAGGAAGGATAGCTATGTCGATACCGCAATAACTTTGTCGCGTAACGGGCCGTTTATAAAATGATATAAAAATACGAATAATATGCACACAGTGGTCTCGAAACCAATAAAGTTACTCAGAGCGTGTATAAGTTTTTTTTTGTGTGTGATACACATATTTTTAGAATTCAAGAACACGTATAAGGGCAACGAAATTCACAAACAGTTGCTCTGACACGTGCCACTTGTACAAACCGCATGACTACAGTTGCAGACACAAGCAATATCATCCTCCTACGATGAAATACGGGAGACAACCACAAATTAGCGTGCAAATAAAATATTACAAAATAATTTCTGTGCTGTAAATTTTTATAAAAATAATATAAAAGTATAATCAAATTAAAATTAATAATAAAAAATCCGAGAGAAAATAATATATTTAATATATTTAATACATTACAAATTAATAAATTAATATATAAAGATTATATTTTTGCCTGAATAATCTATAAGATAAGAACATTTTCTTGTAAAGTAGATGATTTGCATTTTCAAACAATACCAAGACATAGATATAATATCATCGCGATAAGATTTAACCGCGGAGTCGAATTAGATTCATACAACCCTCGGGGGTCTGAAATTACAAAGTGGCGGTTGTCGAAGGACAACAATTTCCCTTGGCTTTCCCTTATCGCGAAACTTTAGCGTCCGCACTCTATCCTTAATTCCGGGATCAGGATGTGATTTTCGGTGGCATATTCTTCGAAACTTTCGATGACTTTTCACACAAACGAACGAAAGGCGTAACGTCAATGAGAATATTCATACGAAAATCGAAAGCAGCCGCCTAATCTCGGCTCGAAATTCTTATTTTCTGTCGAAATTGAGTGAGTGCTTGTGTCTTTTTTACATTAAAAAAGAACTTTTTTAACGCGTATAAATAAAAATATCAGTGCATATATTTTCTTATATTTACATATTATGGAATTATTTAATAAACTTTTTTAATAATTCATTATTATTGCGATGATTCTTTGCACAGTTCAAAATTAACTTTTTATAAGTGCCAAAAGAGAGATAACTGATGTAAGAACAGACAATAGTCTGTTACATGGACAATGTAACTCTCAAATGTGACCTTATCGGAGAACAAAAAGCAAAAATAATTGCATGCGACACAGCTAAAGACATTTGCTCTGCTTTTATTTGTACGATCCAACATTTGCAACGAGCTGTAATATTTGTGTTTCGACTGTATATCTAATTTGTTAATAATTCTATTAACAATTTGTCGCACGCTGCGCACGAAGAGCGTATTCACCAAGTGAACCGGATGCGGTAATCCGAAGTAACGCGCGACAATTTGGCGACACGCGACGCGCATAATAATCTACCGCGAGCGACGTGAAGTCTTAACGATAATTAGCTCTGCCACTTTCTCGTAATTGTTTTAGCAGACGAGCACGTACTTGCCCTTGTGCTCCAGAAGCTGAAGCCGCAAAATCAGAAAAATGCCGCAACTAAAATAAAAATAGAGCTTAAAATAAATTAATAGATTCATGAAGTAAAATTGCGAGTTTTCAACATCCGAGTTTTTAAAGTTTAAAAATATGATAAATTGATTTCCCATATATTGTTTTCTATTTTTTTTTTCTATTTTAATTCTGCCTACGAGATTAATTAATTATTTTTTCTTTTTTTAATAAAAATTAAGATTTTACGATAAACGTATATCATTCTACAACAATATAGAATATATCTAATTTACTTGAATCTATTGTATTATTATATACAAATTACCATTAACTCTTTGTGAACTATATTAAGCTTTCACGCACAGCTTCCCAATTAGTTCAAATTATGTTTAATGTATCGAAATACATTAAGAACAAATAATATATTAAGATCTATAAATATACATTCCATTACCTCGTGCGCGCAAAAAAAAAAAACAAAAAAACAAAACATGCGTTTTAATCCATAAGTTAATCGTGATATAAGCGATACTGTTTTAAAACAACTATAATATAAACCCTTATATTGACAGTTTTTTTATTTGTTTCGTCATCATATCTATTGTAAGATAAACGAGGCTTTTATTTTATTTTTTAAAAACTAGCGCAAATCACTGATATTCCAAAGATTAATCATTCTCATAAACGAAAGATTCTCAAATATTCTTCTTTCGTTCCGCTTCATTTAATCGCAAGTGAAATATAGTAGCTTATCTGGCATTTATTCAGTGCTTTTTTACGCATTTACAAACACTGCGTAGGCAAATATGAAAGCCATGAAATATTCAAGGCAAAGAATGTAAAATATATAATGGATATCAAGTGCGGAAGTACTTAATTTTGCACGCGAATCGCAAACGTCCTTCCTTTTGACATTGTTTGCTTTTTGCACAAGACTCAGATATTATTGCACAGAGAGCTCGATGTAGAGCAACATTCCGTCAATCGCGAGTACTGGTCGTTTTTATAGAGAGAAAGAAACAAACACACACATTTTCAAAACACACAGATTTTCATGTCAATACCAGAAATTCTAAGATTTCTGTTCAGACAAAACATTGTTAATATTTTATAATAATCTTACGTTATAAAAATATTTTGCGGATAATAATGTAGAGTTATATAATCTAATTGTAAAAACCAAACATTATGATCTTAAGATTCAAATATCGATAGATTAACTATATGAACGTATAAATATAATTGAAACAAGCAAATTAAATATTGTCAATTGCTTATATTTTGAAAACGATTATAATATCTCGATATTATTATTACATAAAAATCATTTAAAGCTTGCGATTAAAATTGAAGGCGAATGAAGTTAAATATCTCATATAGGGCTATACATACTTTACCGTATTAATTTAAAATCAGACAAATAATTTTGTCGGTAATATTTTTAAAATATTTTCTATAGAGAAAGAGAAAGAGAGAAAGTTTGTTATGTAAACATCTAATACTAGAGTTTTGCAATCAGAGTTTTTTTTAGATATTTAACAATGTAATTTCTCTCTCTCTCTCTCTTTCTCTCTCTCTCTCTCTCTCTCTCTCTCCCTCTCTCTCTCTCTCAATCTAGAAATTAACAAATATCTTCAAAATACCGAGATGGTTTTGCATTGAAAATTTCACGGCAATTTTCCAAAGCTAAATGCAAAAAAAAAAGAATTCGATTTTTCACAGACTTCTCATCACGAAATACGACTTCGCTGAAGAGTGATCGTAAATCCGAAAAAAAACAGGTCAGACACAGTTTAAAGCTACGCCGGGGATTGCTGCAAACACAATGTCATATAATTTCGTCATATAAAAATGAACAGCAACTTTAATATGTCTGGGAAGCTGTTGCCATTTTTTTACGTTGCGACAAGAGAACTGTTAGAACTATAATTTTAATACACCAAGCCTTTCGCGACTCATTTCTGTCTCTCAATTTCCTCGCTTTGAGAAATTTGTTAACTTCATAAATAACTGATCTAAAAAATAATTATATCGATTGTAATTTGTTATAAATTTTGCTAATTCAAGAATTATTTAAGATTTATGATCATAAGATCTTTAAAATTCTAAAAACAAACTTTTTTCTTGATTTATGTAAACTTAGTAAATTATTTTTTATTAAAAATTGAAATAAGTTTAAATATTTAATACAATTCATTGTAAATATATTTATTAATCTATCTTTGTTTTTCTAATTTTTCCCTTTTTTCTCTAACTTTTCTCCTGAAATTGACAATATTTAGAAAATACAAATATTGATATACTTAATGTAATTTTAATTCATTCATTTGCATGGTTGTCGTGTTTCTTTGCTTCCCATTTTTTGACAGTCTGTTTCTCGCACAAAAAATTGCATTGTTTCGCATCTTGACGAAATAAGAACTCGCTCATTAGCCTTTCATCGGCCCTGTAATTAGTTGTGTTCTTTCAAAAGCACCGGTTAATCTTTTTTTTCACGTTCGTAATTTATTATGAAATCTTTTATTTATCACTTGTGTATTATAGCATTAAATGACACTTGACAAAATTTAATGTCAAAAAATTGGCTCGCCAAAATGTCTCATAAATCTTTTAATACCGCAATTCCGTATTATTATCAATCTCATTGAATGAGCAAATATACCGTAATTTTCGTTACAGAATTACCATTAACAATTATTAAATATTTATTTCTCTTTCTTTATTTTATCATATAAAAGACAATAAAATATTTATTATCAAAGCAAGATATAAATACCAAAATAGATAGTTTTTTCATACATATAATATTAATAAATGAATATTATATCACGAAATAAGATGTATTAGATCATGCGATAGAAATATAAAGCTTATTTATTAATTAGCTTACTCAAATTGTTTATCTTGGAAATGAGAAACGTATTAAAATTAGTCTTGTTATATTTTATCTTCTGGAAATTTATAATCAAATATAATTTAAATTGAAATTAATTTAGTAACTAAATAAATTATTCAATTAACATTTATCACATTAAATGTCCTTTTTTCATTAATTTTTCCCACTTTTAACTTATAAAAATATTTTCTATTACATACGCGAAAAATTCTAAAAAGTATACGATAAGAGATTAAATCTGACATAAAATATTCTTCAAAAAATCCATAAGCCACAGTTATAGAATTCATGCAAATTTAATTAAAAACATTAAATAGAGCTAGATTTTTCGAACTTGCGCAGCCATTAAGATTATGTTTCTCTTTGAGTAATTTTTTAAATAATTAACCTTTTATATAATAATATATGTGTATGTATCGGTAGTATTTTATATATTATGTGACTGTAAAAGAGGCAAACCACAAAATAACAAATTGGAAAAATATGCAAATTTATGCAATCATAGAATCAACCATGCGAATCGCAATGTAATATTTTTTCACTTTAAAAATATATACACAAAAAAATAAAAAAAAAATATCTTTTCTGACAAAAATACGTTTTATGTTTCAAAAATATATTTTATTTATCTGATAATATAATTTTATTGATTGTGCCATGTATAATGTGCAGAATTTCTTCCATCTAAAAAAAAAACAGAAAAGAGAAACTTATTTCTTTTTGTTCGAGAAAATGTATCAATATATCTCTCGTAATATATTTTTGAGCTTGCATCTTCATTTTTCAGGTCAGAAAAGCAAACAGAGACTTGCAACAGCTGTCACGTCACCAACGTAGCGAGATCGGCCTGGCGACAATGCTCCTGTGCGTGGTAGTGGTGTTTTTGATCTGCAACATTTTACCCCTAATCTCGAACGCGCACGAAACGTTTATCGCGGATCCGCCACATTGGATGGTGCAATTTGGCAACTTGCTAGTGACCATCAACAGCAGCATCAACTTCATCATCTATGTGATCTTCGGGCGGAAATTCAAGAAGATATTCCTTAAACTTTTCTGTTCGTCTAGGCTGTTCGTACCTGGACGGGACAGTCCAGAGTTTCAGACGTACGACGAGTCGGTCATCACCAATACGACGAACATCGAGCTGAGAAACTCGGTCAGGCATGGTCATCTCAATCGCGCCAACACTATCAGCTGGAACAACAACATACATGTGTCCAATGGCAGCACCAGACAAAGCCTCAAGAGCGGTAGACCGGCTAGTCCAGGTTCCTGCGTCTATTATCCCAGGACTCCAGCGAGAAGCCCTAGTCAAATGTCGAGAACGTCGAACGGTCGAAACAGCTGGAACAAGAGGGAGAATGACGATTCTACGCTATAATAGACATCATTATTTCTCGCGTTTATTATCCAGTTAGCTCAATGTTTTAGTCAAATTTCAAGAACTTTCACTGGTCAGAAGTAGTGAAAAGAAAAAGCAAATGGTAATTCTAATGAACAATAAATATGGATAAACCATATTAAAATTGGAAAGATATAAAGACAGCTTTTCACTATCTTTTATATCTGTTGCTGAAATGAACTCAGTTTAGTGTCTTAATTTGTCGAGGATTTTACTTAGTCAGAACTGATGAAACAAAAAAAATGACAGTACGGTGTTGTAATCTATCATATATACAATTGTTCGCCATATTTTCCGGTTTATTATTTAATTAATAATTCAGTTACAAGTCCTATTAAAATATCGAAGAAGTCAAAAAGAATTATAGCGATATATAAATAATCAGTTTGCTACTCGATATTTTCTCTGCGTTATTTATTGTTAAGATTATCTAGTCAAAATTTGCAGCAAGAAGAGATCTGGAAAAATGAAACAATTGATAGATAAATGATGACTATTTTTCTTCAAAATAGACAACAATTCGGTTATTCTTTATTTTATTATCCAATCAGGAATCTTAGGTGGATATTAAGAAAATTTGCAAGCTAAAAAAGATAGAATAAAAATAATCCATTTATCAGCGAACAGTCAATATATATAAAAATATATATATTCGTCTTAGCAGTTAGATGGAACGTCCAATTATCAAAACGGATGAAACGATAAAAACGAGATGGGAATTCCGAGGTACGGTGGACAGTTGATATTATTCCCTCGGGAACAGTGCGGACCAATCCTCCTGCTCATGTTCGAACGCTGTAATCCCACAGGATGGCACAACTTCGATATAAGAAAAAGGATCGTTAAGAATAACAGTCTTTTATCGCGCGGGAGAGCTTAGAAAAAGGACTTCTTGCAATGATGACCTTTCAAGTAATCTCGTATAAGTTTCATATTGCTTAAGACGATTTAATCGAACGAAAGAAACTAATACTGTAAGTCTTGACGCAGCGTTCTAATAGTACTTTAAAAAGACATTTGACTGAATTACGCTAAATAATTATACTCGGGCGTAATGCTTCCGTTGTTCGCAATCATGAGTTTTTTTTTCCATTAGAAGCATGTAGCGCGACATCAACCTTTAATAGATGAAACAATAGATTTCTCTACTTTGTGATAAAAAATTGGCATTACATAATAAATATACAAAGCAAACAATGATATCAAAATTGAATTTTTAAAAGGTATGTTCTAAATTTTACTTAAATAGTATATTTTGTAAATGGGAAATGGTATCTTGACATCTGTAAATAAGATAGATGTAACGAAAAACTTTCAAGATCGAGAGTTTAACTTCATTGGAAATGTATTAAACAAAAGAGAAGTTGAAAAGTAATTCGCTAACACGGATCGGCAAGGAAGTTTTGCGTTCTACCAACTTTCGGCGAGTTGATCACATACTTAGCTCTCCCGAGAAAATAAATCGGATTTCGTCGAAGTCAAAAGTACAGAAGTCAAGAATGCAACATTCCCTTGGGACATTTTTATAGAAAGGCTGTAGAAAATCCTGTGTGTCTCCTGCATTTTCTCTTGAACTATCGCTCTTCAAAATTTGCATACTGATCAGCCTCAAAAGATATTAGCTGACAAAGGAGAGTTTCCAGTTTCTATTAACATAAGATCAATAAAATAGCCACTGTGTTGACATCACTTTAAAGAGGCTTCGAAAATGTTTCTAGACATGGTACAAAGACTAAAAATACGTCACAAATTTTAAATCTTTCAATTACAATTTGAAGCTTGATATAATTTATAAAAGATATATCTTTTTCTTAAAAACTTTTTATAACAATCGATAAATATATAATAAAAGATAAATTCACAGAATTTCCTATATTTTTCAAAAACTTCCAATATTTTTCTAAATTTATCTTCACGGAGTGGAAGAGCAACACGATCATAATGTAAATATTTCCTTTTATTTAGGAATGCAAATTTTTAAAAGAAACAGGATAAGAATGAATGCACTAAAATGCCAAAGAAATATAGGAATACTATACTATTATAGACATTATTAAAAATATAAATGTTAGCTCTTCTAAGTTTCACAAACATAAAATGTAATATCCGCACTGAAAAATTAACATTCACCACACGCGAGCGGAAATAAATATATGTATATTGAAAAAAAATAAGAATTATTACAAAAATTAGATGTTAATATATATAAGAAAATTGTAAATATATATTTCTATTTATAAATTATCAAATAATATCCATATGCCGACTTTACCTTTTCTCTCCTGCTGTAAAAATTATTCACTTAGCACTTATATCAATGCTTTTTATTCGATAAGAGATACCAATAATATCAACTAGTAAAACAGATTGTCCAATTTGGCGTTTCTATCTAAGTAATCTAGTTCTTAAATAATTGTAAAATATATTGAAATTTATCTTAACAAACACGATTTCCTGATATAGACATATTATTACTAAAAGAAGAGAGGAAGGAGAAATTAGATTTAAGTACAGAGGGAAACAAAACGCTCTCGTAGTTATATGACAAAAGAGATTCACCATTCTAGTCATGGAATTTCTATCTAACTCGTCTAAATATATATACTCGTATACTTAATACATACGTACAATGAGACTGTATATATTATGTGAATCTATTGTCCTCCAAATATGCTGTTTATCCCACCGCTGTTTTGACATTCTTGTAAATACAATGTAGGAATCATCAAGTAACAATGAATAGCTGGGGAAAAAGCACTAATTCGATTCTAAAACTAAACGAGATGAAAGAGAAATTTGCACAACTAAAATTAATTCTACAATGTTTCCTAATTTCTGAATAAAAAATATGATTTTAAATGTCTTCTCTCTCTCTTGTTATTCTTTTTATTTAATAATACCCAATAAATAAAAATTTTTTAAAAAACTAATCCAAAACTAATACAGAAATTAAAATAAATTATTTATGAATTCCAAATTCTTTCATTGAATAAAATTATATAATTATTGAATTAGGGCTTTATACCAGCTAGCATTTTTCCATCACTGCTAAGGCATATCGGACAAATTGTTTCCATGTGTTATCACTAGTAATATTTTTTAATTTAATGCAGCTAGACATTAGTTTCGTCACTTATGTAAATTTACTTTTTCTCTACGACTCAAATGTACTTTAAATAAATTTTATTGTACATAAAATAAATTCAATCAATCAAAACACGAATTACAAATATTCAACCCATGATAACAAACAAATATACTACTTCATATGACAAAGGTATAGTTTTAATGTGAATAAATATTGTTACAGGAAGTTTCCATAGCTAGAATATATATTCTAAAATATCTCTATATCTGTAATCTCTTAAAATATTAAATAAGGCATGATGATAAAAAACAGCAAATTAAATTATACACGATTTTAAAAATATTAATTGAACAAGTAAAAGACGTGGTGGCATATAGCAATGAAATTTCAATATACTATTGAATATAGTATTCAATCATTAGTACACAATCTTGTCAATAGTTTCAAGGTTTCATTACTTTTTTTCTCTTTCCTATTTTATATTTTAGCAAAGAAGATTTATTAAATAACAGATGGTGGAACTGCTTTTTTCAATAAATGTGATTGTAAACTGTGATATGTATGCTGTATTGGTAATTAATGGTTACCTATGGCAACATATCACATCATTCATAGAGACAAGCACCAAGCAACAAACAAAAAAGATCTATAAAAGATCATTTAACTATTTATTTGAAGAATTTGGAGATATTATACGACACAATATATCGTATTACATAATATAACTACGATCTCATCCACGAGCTACGTCTTTTTGCTCGGTTTCAAGTAGAAGTACAAAGCGATCACTGCTAAACCAGCATACGTCGCCTTCGTCACCTGGAAAATTAATCAAACATTAAAAAATCCTCTTCAAGGTAAACGAAAGCTTTGTCGACGACGACTTTGAGGTTAAATCACTCACGTTCGCTCGACCATACATGGTCTGGCTATTCAAGTGTTTCGCTAAACCGGTAAGCTTCTCCTCGCCCTCAGCCATTTTTTCACGGTGGAGAATCCAATCGATCGCGAAAACTCTGGTCACAAAAGAACCGCAGGATGTCGTCAATTCGCGAATCCACTACGCTTCGACGACGATCACGATCATCTGCTAAACGCCATGAAACATATCGAAGGTGAATCGCGAGATATCGCGAGAAACTTCCTGTTTTTGAAAAGGATTTTGTTCGACGCCTGTGAAAAATTTTCTTTTAATTCTCAGGAATTTTATTTTGCAATATTCCTCAATATTTTTCAAGATTTTTAAATATATTCCACACACATATTATCATATATGTATCATAATTATTTATATATTTAATATATTTTTAATTCATACAAAAAATTTGTTTTCAAATTGCCTAGCAGTGATAACATTTATTTCTTCAAATTGTAAAAATCGTTCTTAATATAATTGTCATAAATTTTGATCTTTTTTTTCAGCTCTAAGAAATCTTGAATACATTTGAGAAAGACATTGCTAATATTGAGGATTCTTGATATGGGTAAGTACAACAATCATTATACTCAACTCGGCGAATTTTATCATTTAGTTTTATTTATTTTCTCATTTAGAACGCATAACTGAATACAACAATATTTCTTAACTTCTAATATACTTAAGACTATCGAGTTGTATTTAACCAAGAAATGTTAGTAATGTAATTTCATTTAAAAATTATGTTAAACATTAGAAATAATAGTATGATAAATGAAACTATATAATTCAGTACGTTTCATATTCTCATGCTCGGTTATTCGTAATTAAATAATAAACCTAAATTAGTCATATTTTAAAGAATCAAAAATTTCTGATAACTTAAACATAATCTGCCCGCGTTATAAATGTCAAAAAAATAGAAATAGAACTTATGTTCTGTTTGTACAAAAAGGAACATTAGTGTCGATCACAGATGTAAACTTAACGGTTAAGGTATAAACTTAATAAACAAAAGTTATACAAAGCTATTTGCAATGTGAACGCGTTTTAAGCATTTACATTCCATAACTTGCATTCTTCAACGCGTTGTTTTAAGTCGCGGTAAGTGACGATTAACATCTAGAACAAACGAAAGTATCAAATTAGTTAAGTATTCCACATTTATACATGTACACAAATTATTTCATAAATAACACATAATTATTGCTTCTTCAAGAAAAAATATAATGTATAAACCATCGTTTGTTTGTGATCTCAATGATTGAAATTGATTGAAAAATTTAGATATTAAAAATACTCACCCACATATCAAGCAGAATAGAACCGTCCAGGAACTCTTTTTTCTTGAAAGCATTATCTATTTCCTCGCGAGTGACTATCTTCAATTTATGCAATAATGACAATGCTGTTTGTAACGAGATTAAATGAATGGAGACAATGCGCTTATCGGAATCTCGAGGAACATTTAAAGGATAACTAAAATTATAAAAGCATATTTTTTAAAAAGTTATTTTAAAAGTCGAAATATAAATTCCAGCTTAAATGTGTGTGTGTGTGTGTAAAATATACTATATTTAAAATATTTCAAACTTACTGGTCAAGTCGTAAAAATTGTACTGGATGATCGGATCTTTGGATTTCTTTGAATGTAGCTTTTATATTCATTGCTTCTAATATAGCCATCAGACGAGAGCATAATTTGAGATTCGTAAAAATTTCCACAAATTCGTGTGTCAATATCCAACCTTCCCCTTCTATGTGAAACACAAATGTCGCGTTTTTAACTGAATCTGAAAAAAATAAAATGATTTTATATATACAATACCAAGATAAATAACAGTTCAATTCACTGAATGTCCAATAATATCATACATACCAATTTTCTGAAACACAAAAGAGGTATCAAAAAAAAAGTCACTGTTCGCATTTTTATATTCAGTGGATTTTTGTTTCTCAATGTAAGATGGATTCTTCCAGAAATTCTTGTACATATCCAACGGTTTTTCTTTGTCGTTCCGTTGGAAAATATAACTTAAATCAATCATTCCATTCATATTTTGGGTTACAGGTTCTCTATTATTATTACAATTCCAGTCTTTATGAGATGAAAAATTAACCAATTTGCTAAATATAGGCTTTTCATTAGGATTTTGTAAAGAAGCGCCGTTTCGGAATTGCGAGTTAATCCAATGTTCTGGAATCTCGATTTGTTTCCAAGTTTGAGGGGAGACGATTCGCTCGTTTTGTTGATGATAATTCGGTTTGCTGCTTATAATCGGAGGCGAGTCTTGCAATGTATAATCGGTTGGTGGTCGAATGACATAGCCTTCGTTAATGTGTGAGCTATCATGCTTCGAATACAAGGTAGCGATATCATTCGCAGATTGCGAAGACAATTCCTTATTACTACAATGTTTTTTGAGAGTCATGTTACCATCATTTTTAAAATTGCTATTGCAAGAGCTATGTTTCATATCTGCATCCGTTTGCTTCTTCTGCGTATTATACATTACCGGACCGGCTTCGTAGACAATTCTAGGAGTGTAATTTTCAGCGCTATTGACGTTAACGTGTTCCGCAACCGTAAAGCCATTGCTCGCCGCGTGAATGTTCATAGCTTCCATTTTCAAAGAATGATCATGTAAATTTTTAACGGATAGATATGATGCAGAATTCGTATCATAATTGTTCGCTATCCGCTCATTCTGTTTCTCCGGCATGTCATTAACTATAGAAAACTTGAAGGGATTCGTCTCCTTGAATATGTTGGCCCACTCGCTATTCACAGTACTGAAGAAACTTGAAGAATTACGACTGTTATTAGAGCCAGCGTTCATCGGTATCATTGGAGATACTGGCTTCGTCGCAGAAGAGTTTTCATTGCCCTGATCGACGTTCGGGAAAAAAACATTGGCCGTGACCGATGATGGTCCGCAATTGTTAAACATGGAACGTGCAGAAGTTGGAGTTACTGGAGACGGTATTTGGACATGAGGATTGAATCCGTCAGGTTGGTGCCAATTGCTTGTAAAAGTATAACCGTTTGAACAGTAAGCGGAAAATATGTTGTGAGTCTGTGGTGGTTTGTCATCATTGAACGGATTCGATAGCGATAAATTACTCATGCTCGCAAGCTTCCGATTCACAAAACTTTCGGCATTCGGATTAATCGGCGTTTTTTCCGCCAAGCCGACTTTATCCGGCGTCGTTTCTCTTGCGAGATTAAGCGATAAATTACTCATACCCGCAAGCTTCTGATTCACGAAACTTTCGGTATTCGAATTAATCGGAGTTTTTTCTGCCAAGCCAATTTTATCCGGCGTCGTTTCTCTTGCGAGATTAAGCGATAAATTGTTCATGCCCGCAAGCTTCCGATTCACGAAACTTTCGGTATTCGAATTAATCGGCATTTTTTCCGCCAAGCCGACTTTATCCGGCATCGTTTCTCTTGCGAGATTGAGCGACGTTGATGACGTGCTGACCGTAGACTGATCGTTGTCCGGTATCAGTCTCTTTTCGAAGCTTTTGAGAAACTTATTGAAATGATGCTGGATTGTCATGTGATTTTCAAATATGTTTCTATTGAGCGGCGAACATTCCATTATATCATATAAAATCTGGGTCAAATTGATGATCAACTGCACATTCTCATTCCAAATCTTCGTAAATATCTGCTTCGCTATGTCGTTAGGAATAATATTGTCGTTCACGAATTGTTGGTCACTCAAGAATGGATTCGTAATCACTTCTGCATTACTGTAGCTTGTCTTCACATTCGATGTATTTCCGAAGGAATATATATCGCTAACAGTTCTCGGTGACATGCTAGATAGACTGGGTTTTTCGCTGAGAGGTGCAAAACCCGGCGGTGGCCTCACCGAATGTTGCTCAAGGCTATCGCGACACAGATGAGTCGGTTTTGATGAGACCAAAGGTACCTTCTCGTGCATCTCCTCGGTGGATGTTGCTATGCAGCGGCTATCAGACATTAGGCTCTCTTCCCCGAAACAATACGTCGGTAATTGATTCGAATTGTTTACTACATACTTCATTATGCTCGCCATGTCGACGGCATCACCCTGAGTGACGAAAACAAAAGAAAAAAGATAAGATAAAGTAATACGAATAACAAAACTTTTGTAGAGATTAAATAATATTTGAGTAAAAGCTCGATAAGATTATAAAAGCAAACTTGAAGTAATATCGAATAATATTTAACCGAGGCACAAGAATTGGGGAAAAATTATCACTTTATGTGATCGTAGTGTTTTTGTGCTGATTGGTATAATAATTTCACACATATTTTGGTACATTCCAATATATCTTTATTACATATTGTATTATTATACTTTATGTATACACTACACATAACATAAGGTTCAAATTTTTCCCAAAATTCAACTAAATTAACATCTTAATATGCATTACATAGCTGTGAAATGTGATTATAAAATATATATATATATATATATATTAATAATCCGATTATAAAAATTGTGTATTTTTTTATCAAATATAATATTCCTCTATATTTATACATCACTTAAACAATTATTAAATAGTTGTGAAATATTCTGATCAATACAATGACAAATCACACTGTCTTTATCTTAATCTAAAAAAAAAGAAAAGAAGAATTATATATGGTCATCGCATGATATAAAATGTTTCCTCGAAATACAATTTTATTAAATTCTTTCAGATTCATCATCTGAAATTTCGATCGGCTCTGTATATCTAAACTGTAAAAGAGGCTCTACATAACCGTCCCAATCGCTCTCATCGGATTCCATATCGCAATCATTTAACACTGGCGGAGAAAGTGTTTTCTCAGACAGGCTTATATCGTTACTCGATTTGCATTTCACACGATCCACCACCAACTCGTCGACCAATTCGCTTCCTTCCTTGTTGTAGCTTTTATCACTCGCCACACTTTCTTGGTTACTCAGATCATCGGAATCCAATTCGATAACGCTCGTCGCATTTTCTACGTTTTTCAACACCAGTTCCAACATCTTCGAAGTGCGTGATGCTTTAACTGTCACATTCGGCTGTTTTGAATCGTCAACGTTAGAAGCAATCGCATCAATTTTCACCAATTGATCCTGCTTGAAATCATCCACATTTAAAGAAGCAAGAGAATCATTTTCCGAAGACAAAAGACCTCTAGTTTCTTTGGAGTTGCAATCTAACGAAAAATCACTCGAGGATGTGGACGAAAGTTTCGAAAAGTTGCGTAGCTTGGTAAAACGCATGCTATTTTGGTTCTTGAAGTCCTCACGTTGTTCATCATCTGACGAGATCATGCTACCAGTAGTGCTACTGCTGTGACTACAGGAAGATGATTGAATTTGCTCGCTGCTTGGAGAATTCCTTGTATTAAGGAAGTCCATC